CTCATAAAAACAATAACTCACGACAAAACTCTCAGCAAACTAAGAATGGAAATTCCTCAACCTGAAAAAGGGCATCCCCACACAAAGTCAAAGTCAAACCCCCCACAGCGAACATCAGACTGTGTTCGATGCAGTCAGGCCGCCTGACTCAAAACGACCCCACACAGAGACCAGAGCCCATCCCTGCAGGTCCTGCATCTCCCTCGCACTCTGCTATGTCTGAGCCCATTCCCTCAGCCGGTGTCTCCACCTCCCTGAGTGTTTTCATCTTCTCCACGGATCCCCCACTTTGCGGAGCCTGATGTCCTTCTCCAGAGAAAGGTCCCTTCTGATAACACGTCCAAAGAACACAAGACACGGTTTCCTCTCATCCCTGCTTCTAAGACGTATCCGCTGTTTCTCTTGGAAGCCTGTGGTGTGCTCTGTGTTCTTCGGCAACACTGTAATTCAAAGACAAAAATTCCCCTTTGGGTTTCCTGATTCAGTGTCCGATTTCTGCAAACCTACCAGATGACTGGAAACACCGTGGCCCAGACAGGGAACATCAGTCCCCAATGGGCCATCTCTGCGCCCACACTTTGAGAAGGTCTTTGGCAGACTTGTCCAGTGCAGTACATCACAGACTGCTGCTTCCATGGCTGCTCACAGGAGATGGGAGGAAATGAAGTCCTGGACAGGCTCGATCTTCTGTTTGTCAAGCTGCTCCTTACGCATCCAGCGGGGAGGACTTTGCTGTCGGTGGCACTGTAAGCCACACTGAAGGCTGTAGTTGTGGATCATCATCAGTAAGTACTTCAAGTCCTCTTATCTTGAGCAATCAAATGTGTGTCATCTGCGTAATACAGGCTGTTAATAAGCCCTCCTCCAATGTTGCGGCCTTCTTGTTATAGTCCAGATTTTCAGATTATTTGTTCAGCATTCTGGTTGAATAAGTATGGTGAAAATAAATAACCTCATCACACAACTTTCCTTAAACCACACAATACACCCTTGTTCTGTTTGACTGCCTCAGGGTTGGTGTACAGGTTCCACGTGAACACAGTAAAGCACTCAGGAACTCCCATCTGTCTCGGTGTTTTCTACAATTCTAATGATCCACGCTGACTGGCTTTGCATAGTCCATAAAACAGAGGCAAAGGTCTTTTGGGTCTTCTCTGCTTTTAGCCAAGACCCACCTGCCATCAGCAGTGACGGCCTCATTTCAGGACTTCTGCAGACTGCAACCATTTAAGAATCATCTTCAGCAAGGCTTTTCTTCTGATAGTCACGAGACTGTTTTATAATTTCCACATGCTTCCCGGTCACCTTTCATTGGAAGAGGCACACATACTCTCTTCTGGTTGGTTGGGTCAAGTTTCTTGGCATAGATGAGTGAGTGCTTCCCCAGTGGCACCCATTTGCTTACACCCGACTCAATTCCTAGAGCTCTGTTTCTGGCTGAACCTTCAGTGCCTTTGAGTTCCCTCAACCCCATCGGCTCTTCGTCCTAAGCGGCCTCCTGAAATGGTTGAAAGTCGGTCACTTCCTTCCTTTTAGTACGGTGACTCTGTGTACTCCTTCCATCTCCTTCTGATGTTTCCCGCCTCAGTCAATACCTTGCCCAGTGCTGTAGGTTCAGAGCGTAGGCACAGCCTGGTCCTGTGTCTTCCTCACAGTGGTTGGTACGGTGGAGCCCACTGCTGCAGCCATGGATCAGTCCAGCTCATTAAGAACCTTCCTCTTTTTCGCTGACCTGCTACTTTACCAAGCATGATGTCTTTTCCTTCAATATTGCAACTCAAGGCAGTGATTTGTCATTTTTGCAAGACTTCTACATTACAAATGATAAAACATCATGAGCGAAAGGAAGAAAAAAACCTAAGCGACCAGTGTGTGGGTGGTGGGGGAGGGGGGTTCGGCCCTGGCCTGGGTTGGAAGACTATAAGCTCACGGACCTTATCTGAGTCTTTGCCGGCTTTTGGCAGGAGGCCGGGAGAAGAGACGTCAGTGGGCCGGTGACAGAATTTATCCGGAAGTGCATGGGGCTTAGAGGGGCCAAGGCAACGTGGAGGGAAGGAAAGGAACCACCCGACCTGATTTTGTGACGGACCCTAAAGCCACCATAATCAAGACAATAGAGACCAGCAGACAGACTCCTCACACTCACACAGTCATCTCGTTTTTGACAAAGGTGCCACAAGGGAACCCAACAAGGGAAAGGACTCGTCAAGTCATGGTGTTGGGAGGATCTAATACCCACACGGGAGACACAGGCCCTCAACTCTCACCCCTGCTAGGCACAGAAGTCACGTCTGCGTGTGTTCCAGACCTACGTGCAAACGACAGGGCAGGTATCTCTGTGGCCACGAGAACGGCAAAGACCAAGTCATAGCCATTAATCAATCGGAAAGGTGATCATTAAAAGACACTGTTAGGAAAATGAAAAGCTACAGACTTAGAGACAATGTTACCAATGTATACAAAAGACTCTTAAAACTCAGTAATAAGAGGCAAAAACCAGTGGCAAATGCAGAGTATAAACGGATACGTCAAAAAGAAAATGCACACGGGCCAATAAGGACATGGGTGTACTGGTGACTGTCGCTTGTCCTGAGGGCCTCCGAAGTGCACACTCACAACAGCCCCGGGCCCGACGGGGAGAAGGCCTGCCAGCTGCTGCCATGTTTGAGCCCACGGTGACAACTGCCGTGGCGATAATCCACCTTGTTGAGGGTCATTCTCTTTTTTGCTGACCCTCGACCTTTTCCAGGGACTGGCCCTCCTGGTGTGAGATGAAGCCTCGCTCACCCTCACTTCTAGGGAACAGGAACCATGACACTGGTCGTCATTTAGAAACCCACTGCCATGGAGTTGATTCTGACTCCTATCAATGCTACAGAGCAGAGGAGGATGGGGCTTCCATGACTATCTGTCTCCCCTGCAGCAGACAGCCCCAGCGTTCTCCTGAGGAGTGGCAGGTGGCTTTGAACCACCAACACAGCAGTTAGCAGCCCAATGTTTATCCCCCAGTGCCACCAGGGCTCCTGAAAGTTACAGTCACACTAGTAATTATACTAAGTAGTTATTATACTAAGTCCCCCACGAGCTGAAGGTCATGGATGTCTAAATCTGACAGGGCCATTAAGGGTGCATTGGTGAGGGTGGGAGCAACCAGCAGAGGCCAGAGAAGGTTGGGGGGCTGCAGAGGCACCCCAGGACAGAAGCATCGTGGCAACCCAGAGAGTGAGACTAAGTTCAACACACAGAAAGCAGTGACTGTCCCCTGCAAGGGAGGCAAAGCCAGTGTAGGCCCACTGAAGCATGAGGAGGGAGGTCGAGAGCCCACTGCAGTGCACGGTAATGTGTGGTCTGTCCAGGAGCCGGAGCCTGGATTAGAGTGCAAAACGGTATGTGCATGAGGAAACTAGGAGTCCAGCCCCGGGCCCAATGCACAGTAATGCATGCGAGTGCTGGGGGCCTGAGCCCAGGGTGCAGTGCACAGGAAGTAGTGTGTGGCCTGCCCAGGGGCCTTTGGGCACAGCACACAAAGAGGGGGAGCAATGGCTGGGCTGGCCTAAGACACGCACCGTGCCAACTGTCTTAACTAGAAACTGGGGTCCTGAGTGGGAGACAGGTGGACACTTTGGCTGAGGAACAAGATCACCCAGAAGCAAACGGAAGGACCTCTAGGGGTCCAGAGCAGCCCAGGGAAGTCAGGGACAGGGGCCACTGGGTGCTGTCATGCACCCTATAGCAGGATCTGGCATTTCCCAGCAACCCACAGGAGGCTGCTGGTGGGGGGAGGAGTCACAGGGAGAGACCCCCTCACCATCAATGTCCCCTCCCTCTCACTGGGCCTCCTCCTTGGGTGCTCAGCAGAAGGACCTCATCCAGTCTACCCAAGGAGGGCAGCCTTGGGGACAGGCAGGGGTTCCTGGCTGCTTTGGGAGTGGTGGTCTGCCCAGTACACGGCTGGCATGAGCAGGGCAGGATTCTGCTGGGCAAGGACACATGCAGGTACCTGCTGTCTCTGCTGCCCACTGCGCCCAGGGAAAAGAACCCATTCTCCAGGGAAGGGGCTTAGGTCTCCTGGCCTCCCAGCTAGGACCACCTCCCCCATGAGAACTGGCCAAGGGGAGCAGAGGGCCAGCGGGAGCCCTGACTGTCACTGAGAGTCCTCCAACTGCCTATCCAAGGGGCTGTGTCCCTCTACGCCAACTGAGACAACCGAGACAAGGAGGTGGCCATGAGCTGAAGGCCCTGTTGCAGGGCCAGGGCCTACCTGTCCTGCTGGAGATGGGCAGTAGTACCTGATGGGTAGGTGCTAGGGAGGAGAACACTTCCTGGGGGCACACAGCAGCCCGGGCCCTCTCCTCCAGGCAGGACCCTCCTCACACCCACTCCATTCCCACCCCGAACGCATTTCCCAAGTGTTGGAATGACCCTCAGGAAGAGGGAGTCCTGGGGAGCGGCGGTAAGGGGCTCTGAGGAGTCGTACCCCCCCCCCCCCGCAACATGTATTAAAAAGGAGGAGGCACTCACCGGGCACCCAGCAGGAGGACTGGCATGGGGTAAGAACAGAGGGTTTCAGAAAAGACACTGGTGAGAAGCCAGCAGAATAGTCCCCACACAGAAGGGGGCAAAGATCACCAGATGCACCCAGTGTGCTCTGCATCCGCAGCAGGGAAGAACCAGGAGGGTGCTACCAGCACCAGGCCTGAGGCGGCACTGCGCCACTTGGGTACAGCAGCCAGGAGGAGCCCACCCTGGGCCGAGACCACCCTCTGCCCCAAAGCCCCTCAGCTACCCTCTGCCTCAGAGCCCCTTAGGCCCCGTAGGCCCCCAGGGCTACCCTGAGGGACGGCACTCAGCCCCTTTGGCACCAGGTGCCAGTTGACCCCTTGTAAAGTCTGGGAACATGGGCAATAGCAGGGGAAGGTTCTAGAAGGATGGGCCCAGAGAGGGCCTTTGAGGGCTAGGAGTCAGGCAGGGGCCCAGGAGAAACTGCAGTGGGGGCTCACCTTGCGCCCCCTCCCCCGAGCACCAGGGCAATGGCGTTGCCCGTCAGCACCCGAGCCAGGCGGGAGAAATCTGAGTGCCTGTCGGGTGGCCGCTGGAACACTCGCTCATACATCTCCACCTGCGCAAGGAGAGCAGATGGCAGGCTGGCCTGGGACCTACCAGCCAGCTCCACCGGAGGGACCACTGTCGGCAGGGGAACCAGGCAGGGGAACCAGGGAGTGGTCATGACAACTGTCTAGAGCCCCACCCACCCACCCCACCCCGCACCCAGAGCGGGGCCTCACCAGTTTGGGCAGGCTCCTTCGGGAGAAGACACGCCGGGGGCAGCACAGGTGCAGGTGGCCCGAACACCAGCTCCGCATGTTGAGCCACTCCACAGTGCGCGCCGGCTCGGGGCCCTCCTCTCGGTGCAGCAGGATCAGCTGCTTCTGGGCGCGCACAGCAGTGTTCTCCAGCATCTGCTCCAGCTGAGGGCAGGTGGGCAAGGGGAGGGGCTCCCAGCGCCTGTGGGCCAGCCCCGCCCCTGCCTGGCCCAGCCTACTGCCATCCCTCAGAGCCTCTGATCAGCCTGAACCCTGCCCACTGTCCTGCTCACAACCTCCCCCACCGCCCCAGGACCCACTCACCACTCCAACTCTACCCACAGCTCTGCAGTGCCTACACCATCACACACACACACACCCCCCCCCCACAAACATAGTCCCCCCACCAGCCGGCCAGTCACCATCCATAAGCGCCTCCCACTGTCCAGCTCACAGCCACACCCACCACCCTGGGCCCACCCCTGCCCCTGCACCTGGCCCACAGTGGGCTCCTGCTCGCCCAGGCCCACGATGAGGATGCAGTCTGCCTGCCGGATGCAGCGCTGGGTCCACGGCGTCAATGTGCTGTCTGCTTGGTAGAGGACAATCCGGTGGATGTCCTCCTGCTGCCCCAGCCAGCTGGACAGCCGGTACTCGTGGACACTGGAGTCACAGAAGAGCCCTGTCCCTCAGCTGGACCTGGGGGTAGTGGGGGCCCTCCAGGCAGAGTTTTCAGAGCCAGGATATGGTGGCCAGGCTGGTGCTGAGACCAGTGGGTAGAACTGACTAGCTGATGAGGACAAGGGGCCCAGGAGAAATAGGGACAGCCCTAGAGGTCCACTGGGGACCAAGAAGTCCACCATCCACCGCCCTTCCAGGTAGGGAGCCATGCAGCCATCTGCCAGCTGGGCCATTCATACCCTTAGAGCTGGGCATGCCCTCTGAAGGGCTATGGGTGCTGGACACCGGGACCCTGCCCACCTACCTGCCCCTGGGTCTGCAGCCATGACAACAGCTTACTGTCAAGTACTATCTCCTATTCCCCCCCACCACCACTCCATAGCGCCCCTACCCAAAGACCACGCTTCAGCAGGCCCTCCCCCGGGCCCCAGGAAGACACGCACCAGTCCAGAGCAGCAGAGCCCAGGCGCTGCTTGATGATATCACTGGTCAGCAGCAAGACAGGGCCTGAGGATACAGTCAGAGACATGTGGGTGACGGGAGTGGACGGCCAGGCCATCACAAGTTTTCCCCTCAGGCTGCCCTCCACTTCCCACGGGTGGGGATGTGCCAGCCTTGAGCCTGCCACCTAGTCCTGCTGAGGAACAGACTGCTAGGGGACAGGCACCTGTCACCACAGGGCCAACCCCTGCAGGGGGTGGGGTGGGGTGGGTGCCAGGCCTGTCCATCTCAACTCCAGGAAGAGGCTACACTCTGGGGTTGGGCAGCGCCCTGGCCTATGCATGCACCTCAGTCACAGGGGCAGGGGCCGGGGCCATGAGCAGCCAGGGAGAGCTTGCCTGCGGGCAGCAGGTCTGGGTTGGAGAGAAGATGGTTGGTTGTGTGGTAAGTCGCCTGGCAAGCAGGCAGCCTTCATCTGGAGCGGTTCTGCTCCATCCTGCGTGAGGCCCTGAGGGGCCGTGGATGCCTCTGCAGACTGGAAGATGGTGTCGTACTCCATGGGTATAGGAGCTGACTCACAGACAAAGGCCTCCACGGTCTGCACATAGGATGCTCCTGAGGCCAGGCTACCATCCGTCCCTCATGGGCGTCGTTTCAGTACAGCTAGAGGCCACTGACATGAGGGAGGGTGAACACTAAGGTGCTTAGGGCTCTACCACCCTGGCTGGACCCCCTGCCTTAGAGTATACCTCCTGCCCTAGACCTGCATGGCCAGATGCAGGGAGGTATTCTGGGAAGGCGTATGGGTTCCGGCTCCGGCCAGTGGAGGCCCAGTAGGCATCTCCTTCTGGGGAGGACTTTGCCCCTTACCTCTTTGGGGCAGGGACGCTTTCTTTAGAAGAGCCAGGCCGCAGCAGGCCTGGGACTGAGAGGACATGGTCCTTCCTAGCATTCAACCCTCAGCAAGCACACCTTCCTGAGCTTGGTCTCCGTACAAGAGGCTCTGAGCCAGGGAGGCTCCCTCATGCCCATCAGGCAGTCTCCATCCGTCCCCCTGTCATCCAGTGTGCACCATCTTCATGGCCTTGGCTCTCTGAACCCATGGGAGGCTGTTACGTCAGTCCATCGTGTAAGAGGGGAGGGGTCAGCTTGCTCACCATCCTGGCTACCAAGGAACATCCCAGCCGTGTTTCTCCTAGGATAGTAGCTTTTCTCTCCCATGGTATACTCGGTTCTTTCGACCACTACCAGAGTGCACACCTGAATGCCTTCGTCAGTGCCCGCCTCTGCACTCACCAGAGGGGATGGACAGCAAGACCTGGCTCGGACAAAATGCGCCTCCTCCTTGCTCCTCTTAGCTTCACAGAGGCCTTCTGCTGCAGGATCCCCAGTCACGAACACCCTACGCCTCCTCACCGAATCTCTCATGCCACAACCAGTCCTGACTCTCCCATGAATTATAACTTAAACAGCAAGGTGGGGGCGGGGATTTTTAAGAGAATGTCTTTCTGATGCTGGGGAAGGAGGACGTGTCTTCAGTGGGGCACAAACGTGTCAAACGTAAAGGGGAAACAGGAATCGTCCGAAGGCCTCTGCCCATCTACACTCCCCAGCAGACTCCTCCCCTCGAGCTGATGCTGACTCGCGACCCTCCTGGACAGGCTAGGGCTGCCCCTGGGGGCTTCAGAGACCACCATTCTACAGGAGCAGAAAGCCCATCTTTCTCCTGCTGCCATTAAAAGATAACAAGGCAGGCAACCAAGAGGGAAAGACACCTGCAGTCTGTGTGTCCACAAGACGCAACGGCCTCTTGCAAACCAAGCAGAGAAGACAACGCAGCCACCGATCAAAGTGGGCCACAAGCGGAGCTGGCCACCCCAGCCGAGCCGGCTCAGTCACAGGGAAAGACGCACAATAAGCCGTGAGGAGGAGGGAGTGGGCAGAGATGAGGAAGGGAACATGAGGAGCTCGCGCTGTGGGGATGTGCAAATGGGGTGGACACAAGGACCCCACATGCTCTGGGGACAGGAAGGTAAGTGGGATATGAGGGCCTCTCCTGCCTCAGGGAAATGAGCATGGGCCTGTGGAGCCCACTTGCCACAGGGGCCTTTCTGGCTGAGACAGAACCTCCAGCCACAACATTGTCGCTACAGCCAAATCATGTGATGTGATGTAAGACAGATGGCTAATGTGAGCCACTCTCAAGAGAAGAGCCAACAGTGGAGACCACTTTGGGAAGGACACATACATTAGTCTAAGAAGCAAAGCTTGCAAAGCAACTACCACGTTTGCAGAGCAAGAGAGGAAGTCCCTCAGCGTGGGGTCAGAACGGACTCAATGGCACATGACAACCACGGCAGCACGCCCGTGGTGCTCACGGAGCAGGCGTCCTCAGAGTGGGTGGACACAGGGCACAGCAATAGGAAAAGCAGCAGCTGCCGGCTGGACGCCAACTCGACAACTGAGGGAGCCGGTATCTGAAGTCACAACGGCACCGGATGGGCTTTAAGGTGGAATGTAGATGGCAGAAGAAGTGTTGAATTTGAAGATCAGTTTTTAAAAGATTAGGAAGAGAAAAAAGGGGTGTGTGTGTGGCCATGGGACTATATCAAACAGTTCAATATACAGGTAATTGGAGCCCCAGAAGGAGTAGTTGAAAAGTAACAGCTAAAATATGTCCTAAATTTAGTGAAAGACATAAATGTGTAGATTCAAACCCCACTGCAAATCTCATGCAGGATGAATATGCAGCAACCCTGAGGGTTTGTCTGTCCTGGATTCCCTGTGCTGCGAGCTCTTCTCAGCACCAGTGCACATCCTCTGGTCTAGTCAGATTTGTAAGGTAGAATTGGGGTCATGATAGTGGGGGGAGAGGAAGCATTAAAAAACTAGAGGAAGGTTGTGGGTCTTGTCAGTGCATAAACTGATGGATAAACCCCTCAGGACCAATAAGGGGAGTAGCGATACTAGGAGGTTAAGGGAAGTTGGGGAGAGTAAGGGGGAAAAATCACAACAATCGATGTCCCAGGGGGACGGACAACAGAAAAGTGGGTGAAGGGAGACAGTAGTCAGTGTAAGACAAAAAATAATAAGAAGAATAAGAATTTATAAATAATCAAGGGTTCATGATGGAGGGATGATAGGGGAGAGAGGCAAAAAATGAGAAGCTGATACCAAGGGCTCAAGTAGAAAGAAAACGTTTTGGAAAGATGACAACATATGTACAGATACATTTGACACAATGGATATAGTATGGATTGTGATGAGCTGTGAGCCCCCAATAAAGTAAAATTTAAACTATATATAAGAGTCAATTGGGCCTGTCTGGATAGGACAGGCTGGATGAACAATCTGGAGGAGAAAACAACGGGACTGACAGTTC